TGCGCTCTTAAGCTCAGAAAGGATCCTCTCCGACCCATGATCTATTAAAAAACACTTTTGCAGATAAAGTATTGGATAAGTTTTCATTTTTGAAAAACACATTCCACAGTCCATGTCGCATAACAAGAGGAAAAGGGAAGAACAATTTTATCACGAGGAAATACTGCTTCAATCACTGCCAATCTAGACAGGTGCAATATCTCACCCTGGGTTCGGTAATGCTCAGGATAAATAATTTGCGTTCATAAACATGAGAAGTGATTAACTCATAATTTATGCAATGCTAAAGATATAATTGAATTTGTCGATTGAAGCAAATAAATACAACAAAAATTTCAAAAACTATATTTACCATGAAGGCATACCTTCATATTTCATCCGGCGGTTTAATTATAGTAGCTTCCCTGATAAATAAGATTATAGCTCTCTGTACCATTCATTTCCAAAGGCACCCAGCAGCACAAGTGTGAGGTATGAGACAAAAAAAAAAATCTACGTGTCTTAGAAATATGTTGGAATAAATGTCAAGTGGCAGACCAAAGAAGGTGAGAAATTGCAAAGAAACCACTGGTACTGAAGCATAAAGCTTCATAATTTTTCTGTTACTTACTTGGTATTTTCTTGACCAAATACAAACAAATGAATGCTTCCTTTACTTTGAAGAAAATCTGAGTTTTAAAAATATAGACCAACACGATAGCTGTTTCATAATCTAAAATTACAAGTCCAAATACATAAATTATCTTTCAGAAGAATGAGGTTAAAGAAGGAAAACAGGTCAAGTATGCTGTCTGAAAACATGAGACAATTGTAAATTCTCTCAAGCTGTGACTGAGAGAGATGAAGAAGTGTTACTGTCCACACACCCAGAGAGATGCGACAATTCTCCTCAAACTGGGCTAGGGCACCTCAAGTATCTGATAGGAGTCTAATAACCCTTTTTGCATTTTAATGATCTTCTTGCTCCTGCACAATGTTGCCTTCCTAGTAATAAATGTCACCTCTTGGCCTATATTTAGTAACAGAAAAAAGACGTTTCAGTAACGTCTTGAAGTAATTCATGGCATTATTTTTTAAATTCTGAAAAGTTTGCTATGGAAATGAACTCAAACTGTACAACCTTGCAGCAGAGATGGTATTTCATCAATGAACGCACAAATCCTAAATCTTTTCATCTAACAGTGACCATCAATAGGGATAACAATATCCGGAGGACTTTCCCCACCCCTTCCCCGGTCCTCTTTGCTTAATGCATTCTAGCGCTTGGAAGTGACGAGGCGCTGAACCAAGGGACAAATGTCATTATCTTCTGGGATGTTCTTGACCTGTTTGCATAGTTTCTGAGCTATCCTAAAATTAATAGCCCTCAAGGGAATAAGGCTTTAGCTACATTTCAAAAACGGAATAACTTGTTTGAACAAACACTGGAGGGATAAGCTACAGAGCAGGGTTTCAAAGTACAACCTTAATCATATTACAAAATTTTCACTTACTTTTTGTTACATATAAAAAATACCCGTTTTCAGGAAAAGCTCAACAAAGCTTTCAAAGTTTGAATGCTTTACGATGACACTGAGGGGGGGGGAAGATGTCCATGGTCATTTTGAGAAACACATTTTCTACAAACTTCACACACAGATGGAACATTATTTGGTTTTTAAACTGCGCTCAGTGGAGCTGTGCTCATGAACCATGACATGGACAAGGTCAAGGTGGGGGGGGGGGGCAACTTGAGGCTTCTCTGCACCCCTTCCGTCTTTAACCACAGCAGCCTTACTTTGCTCTCTTATATGTAATGATTCAGGCTTTATTTTGTTTGGAAAATGGAGTGGGGAGAGACAGACAGACAGATAATAGATAGATACTGAGAACGATTTGAAAACCACTCTCTCAGTTTAAAGTTCACCATCTTATTCTACATAAAAAGTAGATTCCATCCACATTTAAAAAGATGACATAATCAGCTTGTCTCAATTAAAGCAGACCAGGAAGAAGTCACAGTGGATGAAGTGCAAGACTGTGACAGCCAAATGTAAGCCAGGGTGACGCAGCAGCAGGTCTGCGGCCTGACAGGTGGGAACCTGCCTCACTGGGTGGCCTTGGTGGCCGTCACCGCCTCCCACTGCAGGCCGAGCCCAGACGGTTTGCACAAAGCACGGAAGCTCCAGTGAAGACACGATATTCCCCTCCCCGCCCCCGGCTCCAGAAACACTAACACCATCAGGGTTGGAAAAAGCATTTTTCAGAGAAACAGTTCTCACTTGCAAAGACCCTCCCCTCCTTGTCACTGTGCCTATTTGTCCTCCTAAAAGGACCTCTGCTCCCCTTTAACTGGTAAAACCTTTTGAGGCTCATTTCAAAAGTTCCCAGCTCTCTGGATCCAGTCACCCCGCGGGTTCCTCCCACACCCTTAGGGAAGCCGTTCCCACCGCGGGGCTCCAAGAGCCACGCCCAGTGTTCCTTACATGCTCGAGCATCCCTGACAACTGACATCTGGTAACCGGCTAATCTGAATAAATGAATGAAACTATGGTTTCAAGGGTAGGGATGGATTAGGAAACTAGCCCTAATTTGAAGCAAGCTGGCTGAACAAGGGAACCTTAACCTTTCTGGGTTTTAGATGTTGCAATAAAACTTAGAGGCCATGGTTTATCACGAACTAAAGAGAAACTGGCTGTAAGTTACCTTTTCAATTTATTTGGGGTAAGAGGAAGTCATAAGGGATTCTGTATTTGTAAACTAAAAACATACACAGACACGTTAAGGATTTCCCCAGGCAACTTAAATTTCAACGTGACTCACCATCGCCATCTTCTGGTAAAAGGTTAAACATCTATTTCAAAGATGGAAATCACAAGGCTTTTAATAGATACCTCACACACACACACATATACACTCGAAGGTTAAACATCTATTTCAAAGATGGAAATCACAAGGCTTTTAATAGATACCTCACACACACACACATATACACTCACATGCGCGCACACACACACGCACAACCACCACCACCATTTAACCTATAAAATCTAATCTATAAATTCTAGTACATTCAGGTTAAAAAATAATTGGCATGTTAAACATTCAACTCCAGAATTTTCTACAGTATTTTCACATAGAAACAAAATTTAATATCTAAAATCAATTTTCAAATATTTTATTGTCCATTATTATATATGAATCCTAGCTCATTAGCATGGAGAAACAGGCTACATTATAGTAAGGCTGTGTAGAAAAGGAGACAGGAGCATTTATAAACAGGGTGAATTTGTACATTTTTACTTTGTGAAGAGTGAGAAAAACAAAAGATTCAATTCAGTACCATTAGTGCTTTATGATACGTGACTGTGGTTGGAGAGATTCAAAGAGATTATTATTTTATTTCAACACATAATATCCCAAGACATAATCATGTATAATGTCAGGGAAAAAAAGGAGCGAGTTGATTGATAACAATAAGTTGATTGATAACCAACTACGTGCACATCAAAAGCGGGGAGTGAGGGGTTGTCAGGCTGGAAGGTACCATACATGCTATCACAAGTCTCTGAGAAATAAGCAGGCTACAAAAAGAAATTCAAATATAAGGGAGACATGAGAAACAAACCAGCCCCTAGAGTGATCATTATCTACTGAAGACAGAAGGACATCTAGAGTCACAGAGAGCAACTGTCTGCAACAGAGAAAAAAACCACCTGCAATTGGAGCAAGACATTTCCCAGAGGGGAGGGCACGCGGGGAGTAGAAGGGAGAAAAGCGTTGGCTTTTACTCACCTGAAAGCAAGATCAAATAAACTGCAACTAACAGGAAGCTTGATTCTATGCAGTACAGACATGAGGACAGTTGAAGAAATTATGTAGTTAGGAAGTTATTTAATGGAAAGTTAAAGGTTAGATTGGAGAAGCTTGAGTGGCTAAGAGCATGAACCCTGGAGCCACAGTAAGAATTCTGGCCTGTCCTCTTGAGGGCTGTGTAATCTCAGCTTAATTACTTAACCTCCCTGTTGCCTTGATTTCTCCATCTATAAAATTGGGATAATGAATGGTATCTACCTCTAAAGGGTGCTATGAAGATTAAATAAGTTAAAAGGTTCAAGTGCTACACCTACCACCCAGCACACAGTAAGTACTATGTAAAAATGTTTGCTATTCTTAATTAAGGAAGCAAGATTTGCTATTTATACAGCATCGATCATAGTGCATCCATCACTTTGGGGTTGAATAGCCTTGGTTTCTTTCTTTCTTTTTTTTTTTTTTTTTAATCCTCTGCGAGGACATTTTTCCATTTTTTGTTCAGGTAGAGCGGGAGGGAGAGAGAGGAACAGAGAGAGAGAGAAACGTCGATGTGAAGGGACACATCGAGTGGCTGCCACCCGCACGACCAACCAGGGCCGGGGACAAACTGCAAGCGAGGTACATGCCCTTAGCGGGAACCGAACCCGGGTCTCTCCAGACCGCAGGCCGACACTCTAACCGCTGAGCCAAACCGGCCAGGGCGCCTTGGTTTCTTAAATAGTAAAATGAGGATATTTTTAGTTGTGAGAGAAATGATAGATGCATAAAAATGAACAATGACTGACATTTTTTATTATTAGCTACGAAATACTTATTCTATTATTTTGAATTACATATTGTGTATGTTCATTAACTAAATGCATACATGCATGTACATGTAACTTGTGTGCACGTGTACACGTCTGTGTGTGTGGGGTGCAGAAGCAATGGAAGAACTCCACGGATAAGGAGATGGCTAGACTAAACTAACTTTTCATTTCAGCTCCAAATCTGTGACATGAGTAAAGATCTACACACGGCATTCCAGAGACTTTTCAGCAAAAACTTTAACTGGTATTAGGATTTGTCAATGCTTAGACCAGAGGAGAGTCAACAGTAAGTGGTCTGTCAAGATATTATGGTTTTATTTTATTGGCCCCTGGAGTCAAGATTGAAGTTTTCTGAAAACCGCACATTCTCTATGAGCAAAAGCGTCTCCCACGTACCTTTTCGATTAGCTCGTAAGTCTCCTCGAGCTTGAGCAGCCTGTTCTGCACAGAGGTGGCCGCGCGCTGGTAGACCGCGCGCCACTCCTGGAAGTCGCTCTCCGAAATCTCAGCCACCGCAAAGCACAAAGTTCTTAACCCTGCAAAAAGGTAGCATATACCCCGCAACACCAAATAAAATTTTATTCTGAAGTCTGACACTTCCACATTTTTATTTGACAAAGTCTCATTTAGGAAACACTGCTTTAATTGCTACAATATGTTGAAGGTCGATTCAAGTATGACAGAACCTTAATGTAAAATGTGTATTAATGTTTCCCCAGCCTTTAAAATTGGCACCCTGCTTCTAATTCCCAGCTCCTTCCATCCATCCTCCATGCCTAGAGTGACTTTTTAAAAAATCCAGTTTTATCAGGGTATGTCTCTGCTTGAAATCGTTCATTTATTTCCCAGGATGAAGTCCAAACCCTAAAGTCTGGCCCATTCACCATCTATCAGTTGTTTCAACTATCAGTCTCAGCCATTCACTTCCTGCATACCAGGCTCTCTGCACATGCTGGTCACTTTTTCTCCATCCCGCTCTCTCCAACTCCCTTCCGCTGTCTGTCTTGTGTTAACTTTAAGACTTAGTTCTTAAAATCACCCCTTTAAAGCATCCTCCTCTCACCCGGACCCCCCTCTCCAGGGCAGAAATCCCCAAACACTGCTATGGTGTCAAGGTCGGTGTTGCACGATTTTTCCTGTGCATCTGTCCGTACAGACCCTCCGTATCTGTAATTGGGCACTGAGCACAGGGGCTGGCTCACCACACTGGAGGAAGAGAGAGACCCCATGAGGTCTAATGGAAGAGCCACTTCCTCTTACTGGGATATAGGGTTGTATTTATTATTGCTCTTTATCATTATAAATTTGTAGCTATAAAAAGACGTAAAGAACTGAGGAATAGTGACCAATTCCCCCCCCCCCCCAAAAAAAAACCCATCAGAAACTCCATGGGTGTCTGAGGGGATCCGCTCCCAGTGCCCAGTGCCCATCAGTTTCATATCTCACTTGGAGGCCACCTTCAGCCAGAAAAAAGTCGATAGGTTAGAACAAAGAGGAGGCAAAGCCTGTCAGCATGACAAATGCAGTTAACCGGGTTCCCGAAAAGACAAGGCCTTACTCAAGTTCATTTAACTCTCAATAACTAGGTCTCTGGTCAAATAACATATGGCCAGAGAACTTGTCAAAAACAAGAAGCAAAGAACATAGGACCAAGAGTGCCGGGAGGACTCTGCCTTCCCAGAAAGCAGTAGGGTTGTCTGTCGCCAGATCACTGAGAGAAGAACCTGAATCTCTGGGGCCATGTTAGGACATGTTTTTCTCTTTTGGAAACTTGGCTGGAGACTTCCTCTGGGGCAGCCGTGGAGAAGTGCTGTCAGACCAGGGCCGGGAAGAACGGGGAGGAGGTGGAGGCCAGGCCCATTTGAACTGTCTAGGAGCTGGTGTGCCGATCACATCTCAAGCAGAGAGGATGAAGATGCTCCACTGATCAGGAGCCTGTGCTGTCTGCTGGGTAGGTTACACCTGCCGGCCCACCTGAGGCTGCACCTGAACGCTATGGACGCGTGTCTCTCCACGCTCCCGCGGTTTTGGAGAACTGGGAGGTTATTTATGTCCTTGCTTTTCAAAGCCTAGTGCTTTGAAACATTCCTATCTTTTCACAGTTGGATTAAGAGGAAAACTAATCTGATCCAAGGTCAGGCTTGGTGGTACCAGTTCCAGCCCAAGAAGACAGGAGGGGAAGTCAGACGGGCGGTTTGATACAGCTCGGGCCACGTCATTGCCTGGTTAAGACTCTACAAATCCTTGTGTAACTGACCCTAATGTTTAACGCCTCTCCCTTTCTTTCAGGTTCTGCAGATCACCTCCCTGGACTATGCCGTTCTGTCGTGCGGATGACGTACTTCAGGGGGACAGAGAAAAGGGCCTGAGGATGTCCACCACGGCCGAGGCCTCACACAGAGGCCGGCACGCTGCAGGGGCCTAACAAGTCCTGAGTTGAAACTGAATTGAGTAACTATTTTAATAGTTACAACGGTTTATTTATTTCTTCTTTTTTTTACTCAGATTAGAATACCCAGTTCTTTGCCTCTCGTTTCTTTTCCTTCTGCATTGCTTGAGATACAAAGTAAAGTGTTTAAACTGTAACTAGTATCTGTTCTAAAAAGTGGACAGATGTGTGGGCCCTATGGCCAATACAATGAGGGGACAAAGTTCTCTTAACATTTTAATAGAGGAAAGCAAAATAAAAATAATGGGTGGGAACAGCATATAGTATAATGGAAACAATCAACATTGATCATTATCTCGCTTTAGGAATCTCTAAGTAAAACAACAACAATGATCCCACAGGGTATCAGTCATCAATGATTTAAAATTTTTTTAAATCATGCTTTATTATAATAGCACACTCACCTTCTGTCGCAAACTGCTCTAAATGTTTTAGGGTAATTTCTTTGTATTTTGAAGTCTCTGCCAGTCGGTCATAAATGACGGTGTCCTGAAAACAAACAGATGGTACACACGTCAACCAAGCATTCTGATTTCAACACGGTGATGCTTGGGACATAATTAGCAGCAAATCAGTATAAAAACAGCCAATCACTGTTAGCATTGGTCTTAAAGCATAAAATACGTCCCCCTATTAACAGTTTCCCTAATGACACTAACAAATAAGGCTTTAGTCTGAATAAATAATTCTGTTTATTTATTCCTCTGAATAAATCCGTAGTTACTCCAATGTTCAAAATCTCATATTCTATCAACACTTCACCTCCCCACATGGTGCAGGATTCCCCCCACCCCACTACTCCGGTTCTGAAGGTTGAGGTTGCCAGTTTAATTCTGGGTTGGGCTGGCTGGGTTGTGGGTTTGATCCCCAGTAGGGGGTGTGCAGCCTATCAGTGTTTCTCTCTCATCAATGTTTCTATTTCCCTCTCCCTCTCCCTTCCTCTTGCTCTAAAAAATCAATACAAACACATTAAAAAATGCTACTGTGTACCACACATCTCTAAGGGGGTTCTATGAATGCGTCCAAACTCATCACTGCCAAACCTTTTAGGGGTGAGGGCACCTTGATGGGACTGCTGACGGAAGAACAAACTTTGAAAGACACAGGTCTGAAACTACTGAGAGGGCTGGTGGGGACAGGAGAACCTTGGACACAGAGCATGGTCACAGAGCTGAGGACTTCTGGTTGTGTCACTTAGCTGTCAGGCTCAATGCACTCAGCCTGTAAATCCAGTTACCGGGTTCTCTCTAAAGTCCTTTCCGCTGTAACTGTGAGCACCACTTACGTGTCTCCAGCGTTTGCCCCTTTATAAACTGCCTATTGTTCCGTCAGTTCTTCTTTGGCTTGGGCTGAACGTTTTAAGGATTTTAGTATTTGGCCTTCATGGTTTTATTAGACCAGGAAAAAATAAATCATTTACCTGCAATTACTTTCTCAGTGGTATTCCCCATTTTGGGGTCACCAGTCTCGGGGCTGAGTTGGAAGCCGACTAATGGACGATGATTTAGAACCCTTGAGAGAAACAGAACTCGGTGACCTCAGAACAGATGGAACGTTCCCGGCCCCAATTAGGAATTTCTTTTCATTTTTCAGTGGTGGAATGGGAAGGGGGGCAAAGGAGAGGAAATGATCATTTCCCCTACGGTTCCTTTCTGAGCATGAAAGGTATAACTTACACATTTTATTCTTTCCCTCAGAGGCAAATGACATTCTCAATGAAATGAAAATAGGCCATTTTAAAACGAAGAAAATCTTTTTAAAAATCACTGTAAACAAGAGTGGTAAGAAGGCCAGGGAGAGGGAATTCTGCGACGCAGCCGCGTTCTGGAGGAAACTGGTGCTCGGAAGCCGGAGAACTTTCTGCCTTCTTTACAGTGTCGAGGGACGCGGGGACAGAATGTAACTTTCTGCAGGAATCGCATGGTGCGTTTTTAAATGACAGTCACAACTGGCCATCCTTACTTGAGAAAAATAACTACATATAGATACCTTTTCACCCAGAGTAACATTCATTTACAGTATCCTATAATCAAGTATTTGCTACATTGTTAGGAACCAAAAAAGGTGGCTTCACAGGACCAGACTTAGTATCCACTGCATCTAGAATCACAGAGCATCCTACTGGATTTACTGCTCTGGGGTCCGAGTCCGCGGCAGGTCAAAGTGGAAAATCATGCTGAGCGGATGCTGCCGGCGAAGTGTGGCAGTCAGATTAGAGTCACTTATTTATGGAAACAGCCTAGAACTTCAGGGAGAGAATTCACCTAAGAATTCACCTTAGAATATTCATTCAGAAAGTATTAGTTTTCAATGAGCTGTGCATTTTGTAAAACGTATAGTGAAAGATTCAATAACTCTTTTACTAAATATGTATTGAATGTTCCAACATACTATCCCAGTAAAATGGCATTACATTATAAAAATATTTTGCAATAGTTACCAGCATTTTACATGCTATGTTGAACTTTTTATTCTTTCAAAGGGTGAAACTTATTCCCAACAGGTAATACATGTATTACTGTGAGACATAACTTATAAACAATAAAGTTGTAAAGGCTACCAGCAGCAAAAAAAAAGTTGTTTTCCTATTCATCTTTCTAGATTGAAGTTCAATGCTTCCCTCTCCTTACCTACGGTGTGTTGCACATGGCAGGTGTTCAAAAAATGTGTTAAATGAATATTTGGAGTCATCTTCAATCATCCTAAATTTCACTTGTATGGAATACTACATTATACAATACTGTCAAATAAAGAAGGACTATACAATGAAATGCAAGAGCCAACAATAAAATGGTAGCAAGCAAAAAAAAACCGCACAAAAAAAACCAGGTCTCACAATGACTTATACAGGCACAGTAATTTATACTGAGGTTCCCTAGATGATTGTGCAGTAAATTAGCTAACCACCATTGAGGAGGCTGATCTGTTGTCAGTTTAAACAACCAGGTAGGATTGACTTGCTGCAATATGCTAGGGCCTTGTGAACTGAAGTGTTTGCCAAAGACATGAGACATGTCTGTATTTAAATATAGACCCACATTTTCCGGGTTCATGTGTGCCATTCAGAGCTGTCTGTACTTTGTGATGGTGAACTGCTAAAAAGAACTAATTTCAGATATGGTCTTTTTGCATACGGCACATTTTATTTAGGGGGGGGGCACTTAATTTGAAAATTTCAGTCACTTCATGGTCCTTAAAGCATTAGTGTGTTAAGCCAAGTTCCTGATTTCTCCCTCTGGTACGTAAGTGTTGGAGTAGAATTTTTATCTTCTTGAATAAATTAAATTTTTATTTGTGTAAGTGCGATTTTTCCTAAATTGGCTTCTATTGCAGATAAAAATTGTGTACTGGGTACTTTTCCTTTTTTTTTTTTCCATTTAAAAATTAACAAAGCAAGACAACCTCACTGCACAAATCTGGAAAAATGCAAAGATAAGTCACACACACACACACACACACAGCCACCATCTCTGTGCTATATTCTAGATGAACTTTTTTTCCCCCTCACCTGAGGATAATTTTCAGTCACAATGGGAAGGAAGGAGGGTAGAAGGGAGGAAGGGAGAGAGAGAGAGAGAAACATCGATGTGAGAGAGACACATTGATTAGTTGCCTCCCACACGAACTCCACCAGGGCTGGGGACCGAACGCAAGCGAGGTACGTGCCCTTGACTGGAATGGGACCCATGACTCTGGTTCGAGGGCCAACGCTCTAACTGCTGAGCCAACCAGCCAGGGCCAGATGAACTCTTCAGTACTGTCTTCCAATTCACTAATCCCACCCCCACTCTTACCCCTTGGACTCTATTTAATTTAGAGTTTATTCCATTTACTGACATTCTTTCTTAAATTTATTTATCATTTCCAACTTATCTTACAGGTAGCTCCATTCTCCTCTCTCCCAATTTACTTTTTATTATAAATGAAAAATAAAAATAATGATCATTTCTTTATCATGTTGAGCTCTAAACATCCTTTGTTAGACTGGTCCATACAGATGATTTCAACCAGGGTGAATCCACGCTCCCTCACGTTCTTGCTGTCTCTCAGTTTGGCTCTTGCTTTCTCCCTCTCTGCCCACATCCCAATCTACTGGGTCTCTCTGGCCCTCAGCAGAGGTTGGCATGAGCTTTGCTTAGCTTCATCCCATGACTGGGAAGCTCAATGCTTCTTAAGCGTCAAGGAGAGGAGGCTGGTTCCAGGTGCATTTTACAGGAAGCACTATTTGTCCCCCTGCCCCACAGAAACCAAACTCCAGACACTCCTCCCTGATTCCAAACCCAGGGCCTGGGACCCCCACCCCACTCAGCTCAGGACCTCATTTCAATGCACCACTTTTCTTTTCCTATTTTGCTTTTGAGCCTGGTTTTACCTTTATCTTCTCCTCATACCCGTATTCATCTCTACCATGGTTTTGGAATAGAGGTGATGCATCAAAGAAAGAACAGACGATGCCACCGTGACTGGGAGGCAGGACTGAATACTTCTTATTTGACTTAATTACTGAACAACATGCTGCGCTGTCACTACTGGTCATTCACTCTACCAAGGCATCGTCTGACTCCTCCACGCGCCTCCGAGTTTCAGTCTCCCCCCGGGACCCACTACCTTCACCTTTACTCCTCCTCTCTTTTCATGTAATGTTTTCTTCATGCGAGAGCTCATCAATCCTCTGCTTTTAGTTTGCACTTATACTTGTTAACTCCTAAATCTGTATCAGCACCCCGATTTCTTCCCCCAGGAAATCCAGGTTATCTCCACCTTATGGCCTGGAGGTGGCTCCCAACCCTCTATCGTGGAAGGGGTATTGCTTAGTAAACTCAGTTAGCCAAGGAGAAATCTGATGATAACCCCAGATCATCTCTTTCCTCATCCTCCACAGGTAATCAAGGACTAAATCCTAAATCTCTGTCCTCCCAATCCCCTCTGCCTCTGTCTTGGTTCAGACCCTTATCAACTGTTGCCTGGACTATGGGCAATAGGCTTGACTGATAAGTCTGTATGCATCTCTTTTCTGCCTTAACTCATCTTCCTAAATGGCATCAGAATAATCTAGAAAAAAAGTAAAGGTTCTTGGACAGGAAAAAACCTACGAGTTAACTCATGCCCACCTTTCCAGCCTTGCATTCTGCTAGGCCCTGACAAACTACATGGAGTTCTCAAATGTACCTCGCTGTTTCACATGTTTATACCTGTTCAGTATTTAACCATAGCCAATTAGAAAAAGTGTGTGTGTGTGTGTAGGGGGGTGCAATGAATAAAGAAGTTAATGTATGTAAACTATCTCTGTGATTATTCAGGAAGGAAGTCCAATGTTTTTATTTTGTATTCAATGCTTTAACTCCCCAAAGTTTCCAGGTAGATCACTCAAAACTAAGCCAGACAGAATGTGAGCTGGGTGTAGTAAACTGGAGACATATCATCAACCCTTCAAAGTGGAGGTCTTAAGGGCTCTCTTTATTCCCTTACACTGAAAGTTACCATTGAGATATAGATGATCTTCACAATATACCTTAATAGTGTATCCTCATCTTCTCTTTATATATATTTCCCTGACTAGTCTTAAGCTCCTGACAAGTCTTGGGTCTTATCTTCCTATCCCCAAAATCCATTTCAAAGTCTGGTAGATAAAATGTACACAAGAAATGTTAATTGTTTGAATCAACAATCAAAGGAATTCTGATTCAATTCATGAGACATCATGAAATAGTTCTACCAAATGCTTTAAAACCAAGGCATTGCAAAACACTCTCAACAGGAATTAAGTAATAATCTTGGGCTTCTTAATAAGTTCAATTTCCAAGATCCATGTAACTTTAAAGCGAGGTTGTTGATTATATTGAAAATTACAAAGTTCTAACTTGGTAAGTTATCTGACTAGTCCAAGGAGACTAGGTACCTGGAAAGGATAAGTCAGAAGGAAAATACTGACTAATTTTAAGAACAACAACAACAAAGAAAGTCTCTGGTCAGTAGATTTCTTACTTTTCAGTGAGTGGAAACATATTTTAACTAGGAAAATTAAGTTAGAATGACATATTACTGTTTCTGCCAGCTAACCTGCCAGTATACCAAAGCCAAACAATAGTTTAAAATCCTGTTATAATGTAAAATAATGCAAGACAAACAGTGATCACCACATGAAGTCATTATAGCAGCAATTCGGATCCAATTTCACCCCATTTCAATGGTCTTTAAAAAATTAAATTCAGACTTGTGTGGATCACTACATTTCTAATACAACTTAAAAATATTTTCTGTATCTAAGTGTTTTCTATCTTATTTATATAATGAAACCTCAAATATTATGTATCAAAAATTAAATTAGATAAATAACCTAGGCCAAACGTTTTCAAAGCACCAAATTTACCCAGAAGGAATTCCATCGCTCACCAGGGGAGGCCAAACACTATTACTATAAAACACCAACAAAAGTGGATGTCAGCAACTTCATGCTAAACATCTGTGTTACATTTCCATCGCAGAATGCTTAACATATACATTATAAGCCATCATAAATCAGAACTGCAAAAGACAAGAATAAAAACTTACAGCTCCTTTGCAGTACAGTCGTAACTTCCCGGATGGAGTGCGAACAATCACAGACATTCTTTTTCTGGTGCTGAAAGAAAAAGGTTTTCCACAACATGTCATCACACTGAGAATATGCATCTATGTGTTTGTCATGCCTCACATATTTTAATACTCGCACTGAAAATGTAAATTTGACCAAATTATGAGCCCTATCCTTCCACATATACAAACCACCCCCTGGGTATACATACAGTTGGGTCCCTTTGAAAGTACATTCTGTTTTTAAGGCACTGGGTTACCCATCTGCTGCCCTCGCGGAATAATTTACAGAACCGCCACCTAGAGACCTGCAGGAGTTAATACCCATCGGGTAGAGGAGCATTCTGGTTTAATGTGTTCGGATGAAAAAAAAAAGACATTTAAGCTGATATGTTTTAGGATGAATTGTATGTTGCAGCTGTTATTAAAAACAGGAATGATAATCACTTTTAAGTACATACATAAAGGCAAACACTAGCACTTTAAAATGGACTTAAGCATTCACGACCATTGATTTTCGATTACCAGCAAGCCACTGGCATCATGTAAAAAACCTAATTTATAAAGCTAAGCTAAAGAGCACAAACATTTTAACACTGTATTGGTGATACAAATAGTTCAATAAAGACTGTCAGTCAGACACAGAACATCTTTCCGAGCATCAGCAAAGAGACAGCAAATAACAATGAACAGCACAAACGTGCAGCATTGCACAGGGTGGGCCTCACTTGGTTCCGAGTGTGGAAAAGCATTCTCTCCAAAAATGAGGGGGGGGGGGAGTCTTGAGTGTCTGTGTCAATTGGCTTATCTTATAATGTGCTGCTGCTAAAACACTGAGATGAGTCCGATATAAAGTAGCAGTTAGATGTAGTGTCACAGCCAGGAGTTTCTTTCAGAAGTATCTAGAAATGTTTAGTCTTCTCTTTCTCCATCTATGTGTTGTCTGTTGCATAGTCATGTACCACATGCTGACGTTTGGTCAATGACGGACTGTACGTATGACGGTGGTCCCATTAGATTACAACGGAGCTGAAAACTCCTATCGCCTATCGAAGCCATCATGAGGCCTGAGCCGATGGTCACTCGGCTGTCTGTGGTGATGCTGGTGAAGACACACCTACTGCGCTGCCAGTCACCTACCAGCATAGCACATGCAGTGGTATACAGTGCATGACACCTGATAATGATACTAGAAGACCACGTGACTGGTTGATGCATTTGCCACACTGATTTTATAGCTGTGTTTAGTGCGCTCTTTCTACTTATTTAAAACAAGTTGGCTGTCAAACATGTCTTGCTTGTTACGCCAGCAGCAGCCTCATCCATCTCGTGTTTACTGTCTCCTGATGGTTCATTTTCTCCTGTGCTTGATTTCATCTCGTATTGTTTTGCTCCCATGGCCCCTAAGCCAATTCACACGCAGAGGAAATTACCTACTGAGGCATGTTTAGAGCATATCCTAATTGTTAAGTGACGAATGACTGTATCAGTACCTCCGATCTCACCTGTTTCTTAGGAACACATTGATTGGGCCCCTTTGTCATAACATCTGTACATTCTATCTCAGCCCTTCTTTTTTTAATTTATTGGGGTGACATTAGTTAATAAAATTATATAGGTTTCAGGGGTACGATTCTCGAATGCATCATCTGTATATTCTATTGTGTTTGCCACTGCAGTTCAAGTCTCTTTCCATCACCGTTCATCTCCCCTCTCCCTCTCCTACCTCCCCCACCCCTTTCCCTCTGGTAATCTCCATACTGTTGTCTGTGAGGTTCTTTTTCGTTCTTCTGTTTTTTTTTTTTCTTTTTTTCTTAATTCCTTCACCTTTTTCACCTAACCCTCACCTCCTCCCCTCTGACAACTGTCAGTCTGTTCTCTGTATCTATGAGTCTATTTTTATTTTGTTAGTGTACTTGGTTCATGAGATTCCATATATAAGTGAGATCATATGGTACTTGTCTTTCTCTGACTGGCTCATTTCACTTAGCATAATGCTCTCCAGGTCCCCCATGCTGTCCCCAAAGGAAGAGTCCCTTCTATCCCAGCCCTCCTTGATTCATGCCTTTCTTAACCCAGCTTTAATGACGTGTGACATGTTCCCAAACTCATCAACTTCTTGCTCTTCTCTTGTCCTGGCAAAACCTCCCAAATCCTGGGTGAAGGGGAACCCGTTCTGTGGTCCATCTGAGTAAGTGGTGATTGGTGGAGAAAAGTCACCCAGCCACAGCCATTACTGAATACGTGACACCAACGTCACCTGGATGCTCCACACTGCCCGGTAGCCACTGGGTGTTTCCAGGAGCCTGCTCTCCCTCTGCGGCACCGTGAACACCGCCTCCGCTCTCCAAGTCTCCAGGGCGCCCTCGTCCCTCCAGACCCTTTCTGCAGTTCACCTGATGGGAGCCTCAGACAAGAAACCCCTGTTCTGCCCTGGCCGGTTTGGCTCAGCGGTTAGAGCGTCGGCCTGCGGTCCGGAGAGACCCGGGTTCGGTTCCCGCTAAGGGCACGTACTTCGGTTGCAGTTTGTCCCCGGCCCTGGTTGGTCGTGTGGGTGGCAGCCACTCAATGTGTCCCTTTCACGTCGATGTTTCTCTCTCTCTCTCTTCCTCTCTCTCCCTCCCACTCTATCTGTACAAAAGATGGAAAAATGTCCTCGGGTGAGGATGAAAAAAAAAAAAAGAAACCCCTGTACTTTCTGCCCTTAAAATCTACACATTCATCCACTGTGCACCCTCCTCTCTGTCCCTTTCTTGATACAGAGGAGGACATATTTCTTTTCCTATCGGGGACCTTCCTTTCACTTCTGCTGTGCACCTTCTCTGAGCCCACTTTCTCAGCAACCTCACTCCCGAAGCTGCGGTGTGCTCCCGAGTCGGCTTCTCCTCCTGGAAGGAATCCTTCTCATCAATTTAACAGTCTAGTCTCTCCTGTAAAACTCACCCTACACGGCCCAACCCCCACTGAGCCACATCCCCTCTTTCAACAGCTCAACTTTTCAAAACAACTGCTGTACACACTGTCTCCACGTACCTCCCTCCCTCCCCGTCACCCCCCCTCCTCACCAGGGCACGGAATGGCTAAATCCAACACGTTCCAACCATTCTCTTACCTGACTTTGCAGTAGTTTCTCACAGGTGACCGTTATCTCCCCGAAATCATCCTCTTCTCTTGGCTCTGTGCCATTTTCCTCTGCTTCCTAACCACAAAGCAGTCTCTTTGCCAAATCCTCTTTTTCTAATCAACCCTTAAAAGTTGGAGTTACTCATGGCTCAGTCCTCAGCCTTTCTGGTTCCCCTCACTGTCTATTTTATATCCAGCAGACCCAGCTCATCTTCATGGCTTTAGTTTCCATTTACAGGCTCATGACCACAGAGCTTATATTTCATCATAGGCTCGCTCTTTTTTTTTTTATATCCTCACACAAGGACATTTTTCCATTTTTTTGTTCAGATAGAGTAGAAGGGAAAGATAGAGGAAGAGAGAGAGAAACATCGATGTGAAAGGGACACCTCGAGTGGCTGCCACCCGCACGACCCAACCAGGGCCGGGGACAAACTGCAACCGAGGTACGTGCCCTTAGCGGGAACCGAATCCAGGTCTCACGGGACCGCAGGCCGATGCTCTAACCGCTGAGCCAAACCGGCCAGGGCCATAGGCTTCTCTTTTATGCTCCAGGATCTTCTACCCAACTGCCTACGTCTGACGCCTCCATCTGCATATCACTTGGGCATCTAAAACAGTTCAAACATCTCACCCTCCACATTTACTCCTATTCACGTATCTGCCATCTGTGTAACCAGCACCTCTAGCCACCCAACTATTCATGCGGAGACTCTAACCCTTCCCTCCTTTCTCCTGCCACATCCCATCCATCCCAAAGTCCCCCGGACATCCCTCCAGGTACCTGGATGCTACCAACTTCGCTTTCTTCTGACTACCACCATCCTAGTCTAGACCACGAATGTTTTTCACAGTGTGTTTGAGCATCGCCTTGTTCACCTTTCCACGTTCGCCCCTGGCCTGGCCACGGCGGCGTCCTGACAAAACGTGCGCTCGCGGCCTTGCTTTAGTTTTGTCACGGCACTTGTCACTTAGCGTAGGGCTTGTCCGTGTACGTTAGAAACTAACATATACACATGCTAACGGACATACTTTTTATAATATGTTATAGCTATAACACAAGGAAGCTTAGAAAAAACAATCACTTTGACATAAAAAAAAAAAAGACAAGACACGGGGGACACTCTGTCACAGTCCGTCGGCCATGTTCCCTCGTTCTTCCCGCGAGGCTCGGTGCTTACAAGCGAGGACAACTGTGTTTCCATAAGAACTCGGACAGACCCCATGACTTCTGGTGCTGAGCCCTGGCATGGTCACTCCCAACACACAGCAACGATCGGCCGAGAGGAAATGCCATTTCCAGGCAGGGCGACGCCGGCCCGTGCAGGCGTGCGGCCAGGAAGGAAGGGGACACGTCCTCCTTCGAACGGCGGCGTTGCTCCCTGCCCGTGGCCTTGAAGAAACTTGTACGCGTCCCGTGAATGGCGACACCGCCTTTAAAGACCCTGCTGTCTGTAGCCGAAGATTATTTGCCTGGAGAATGAGTCAGCTGGGAAGCCACAGTCACGCGGGCGTGAAAAGGTCACAACTCACAGATACCACTGATTATAACAGAAGGCCTTTGTTCTCCGACTCCAAGAAATGAAGGAAGTAGAAGAATCTCTTTGCTGCCTGCTTTTTCCCACTAGACAGTAACTGGTTTTACACCTAACGGAGAGATGGATAGATTTTTCTGGAATCCCAAAGACAATTAGGTATAATGAAGACATAATTAGAAATGGTGGGTTTTAACTCTGATTCATCTTCACGCCACATGAATCTCAGTCAGTCCAAGTACAACACTGTTTCCAGATCATTAGCCGCAAGACGCTGGTCCCACATCCGAGGGCTACGACCCAGTCGCCAGTGTTCCACTATCTTCAGGAGTCAGATCTTACAACATTCTGAAGGAAGCTGTTTCTGACTTACCTACAGCTATGAAAACTGAAAACTGTACCTGTTTTAAATGTAATATTTTCATTTAATATTTTGTTTAAATAAATGTAGTTGAATAAAGCACACTTTCTTACTTATTTAAAAGGGGAAAAATAACAATAGCTAGAAGTTTATCTCACGCACACAAGTCACAGAGCAGATGTCTCACCTGGTGAACTCCAGGACGTTGAGCAATTCGTATCGTTCTTCTTGCCCCAGCTGTGAGGAAAGGAAGTCACGGTTACAGGAAGTTGGAAGTATCTTTGGTTTCTTGGAAAGAAATCTCAGTCATAAAATTTTAATGCAAAAAACTGTTGCCCTGGCTGGTCTGGCTCAGCGGTTAGAGCATCGGCCTGCGGTCCAGAGAGACCTGGGTTCAGTTCCCACTAAGGGCACGTACCTCGGTTGCAGTTTGTCCCCGGCCCTGGTTGGGTCGTGTGGGAGGCAGCCACTCGATGTGTCCCTTCACGTCGATGTTTCTCTCTCTCTCTCTCTCTCTCTCTCTCTCTCTTCCTCTCTTTCCCTCCCACTCTATCTGAACAAAAAAAGGAAAAATGTCCTTGGGTGAGGATAAAAAACAAAACAAAACAAAAAAAACTGTTAACACCAACAAATCATATATCTGTTTGACATATATCTGTTGTTTTTTTTTTTAATTACTGACCCTATTACAAATGTCCCCCATTTTCTCCTCCTCTGTCCACATCCTCACTTTTAGGATAAGATGGAATAAAACATTCACAGTTTTTGTTTATTGATTGATTTTTAGAAAGAGAGAGAGGAAGGGAGATAGAGAGAAAGAAGCATGGATTTGTCATTCACTTATGTATGCATTCACTGGATGCTTCTGGTATGTGCCCTGCCCGGGGACTGAACCAGTAACTAGGGGTATCTGGACAACACTGTAACCAACTAAGCAACCAGGGCTAGGGCCTGGACATTCACATTCAATTTCCATCCTTCCCAAAGCCGCACCAAAGTGACAGCAGCACTTACAAAGAAAGAAACTTCTAATGGCAGGAAAGTAAGAAAGGAGACAATAGTACCGAAAGTCGAAACGAGATCAATGAGTAGTATCTTAGCAGACACAGGAAGGTCAAATGCTAGAGCAGCCCTGGAAAAGCTGGGAGCCAACCCGATCTGTACCCCACCATCCTTGAAAGGCTCACGGAGTGAACACCAGACAGCTCCAGATCTTTGAGATGAAAGGAGGGGCCGAGGGTGGGCTGAGTGGGAGCTCCTTGGACAGCCGCTCTCGGCACCGGCCTGCCCTGTGCACTGGCAGACGACCAGAGGCGAAACGGAGGACCTCTCGTCTGGAAGGTTGCTGGCACCGCTGGAGGTAGGCACGGTCAGACGGCTGCTGGGTGCTGGCCCCAGTGCCCCACCCCCCGCTCCCGACACTGAGGCCACCAGATCTTTCCAGGCAGACATTGGAAGATGACTCTGGGGAATCCAACGACCCAAGAGAAGCCCTAATGGCAGATGTCACACTCCCCAAATAACCCCACGACACCACCCTACCAGAAGCTCACTGTTGACAAATACCCTCGCATGCTCAGAACCGCCACATCGGCTTGCAAGTTCCTTGCTCTTTAACCACGAGACCCCAAAGGCTGACAGATGTCTAAGGAAAGCCAGTAACATGGGACACAGACACCCAAAACAAACAGGTAGGACAACCTGGAGGGAAGAGAATCAAACACAGAACTTGGTGTGGGCCCATGGAGGTCCAGGTTCTGGGTCTCCTGACAGGCACAGGGGGCCATGGGCCAGTGCTGGATGCCTCTCCACCAGGTTTCGACACCGGACTGAAGTGGCTGGTCATTCGCCTCCCAGGTGGTGTTTTCTGTTCCGTCACCGGAACTGCACTGCTCGGCTTCCTGGTGGCATAAGACTCTTTGCAGTGCTTTATACCCCTGAAAACACTGCTGCGTCAGGCAGTATATGCTTTTTAAGGGGACCCATGAAGAAAAGGTTTGAAACGATAAGTTTGCTTATAATAATTCTTAGAATTTTGTGATGAATATTTATACCCTGTGTGCTACTCGGGGGTGGTATGGGAGGAGACTGGACGTACTATTCTACACATTGCAGTTCTGGTCAAAAACCTGGCGGAGTCACCTGTCTTCTACCACACACATGTGAGGCAGTAAGTAAATGCCATTCATTTCCGCTAAGCAGAAAATCAGAAACTCTGGAAAAGAATATTTGAAAGTCGATGTTTAATTTCTGGTGAAGTGTGCTATTCTCAAAACAATCACCGCGAAAAACAACTGCAATGACAATATAACCATTTTATGTTCTGGTAAAAACTATTGTTTAATTAAGTTGTTATCATTGTAAATTTCTTTTTAAATAAAAAACTTCAAAAAACTGTCATTTTCCTCTCCGAGAAGTAACAAACGTATGGCATTCGTGAAACAAAAACAGGATACTATCAAAAAAGAAACATGAAAGGACAAAAAAAGCTTCTGGATATCAAAACCATGCTAGCAAAAACGAAAAAACAAAACAAACAAACAAAAACAAAAAACAATATAAGGGTAAGAAGACAAAGCTGAGGAAAACTTCCAAAAAGCAGAACGAAAAGGCAAAGCCCTGAGGGGAGAAAAGTTAAGATTAGTCAAGAAGAGGGAAGAAAAATGGAACCATTTAAGAAAACTTTCCAGAGCTGAAGGACAACGTATCAATTTCCAAATGGAAAAGGGTCCACCCAGAGCTCAGTTAAAACATTCCCACTAAAGCCACAATCATGAAATTTCAGAGCTCCTAGGACAAAGAAGATCCTACAACCTTCCAGAGAGGGGAGGGAGGGAGCAATTCACAAAAGACTTGGAATCATAATGGGTTCTGATTTCTCAGTTAGGAATACTGGACGCCAGAGAGCGAAGCTTCAGTATTCTTATGGAAAATGATTTCCACCCTGAAATTTTTAGCCATACTATCAATTATTAAGTATAATGGTAGGGTAAAAAATTGTTTAAACTTGAAAGGACTAAAAGGGTAAATAAATAAACAAATAAATAAATAAAAATTCCCCCTACACTGTTTCTCAAGAAGCCACTATAGAATGTGTTCCACAAAAACCAAGAGTTAAACCAAGAACAAGGAAGACACAGGGTTTAGGGAACAGAAGATCTAACACAGGATAGAAGTAAAGAAAGTCCCCAGGCAGTGACTGCAGGGTGATGACTAGAAGTCAGAACTCTCAACCAGGACGTCTGACCCTCAGAGTCAGGAGCGGGTTTGCTGAGGGCTGTCACTACTGTATCCTCTGCTTCTGTGACAAGTTTTTTAAAGTTTTTGTAATTATTTTTATTAATTTATTTTTTGTTACAGATGTTTCTCCTTTTTCCCCCATTGACATCCTCCTCCCAATTTCCCCTCCCGCCTGACCCCGTCCCCAGCATTGTTGTCCATGTCCATTGGTCATGCATACATGTATATAAGTTCTGTGGTTTATCTACCCCCCCTTCTGAGGTTTGTCAGTCTGTACCCTACTTCTATGTCTCTGGGTCTGTTCATCAGTTTGTTTTGTTCATTATATTCCACAAATAAGTGAGATCATGTGATATTTGTCTTTCTCTGCTTGGCTTGTTTCGCTTAGGATAATACTCTCCAGGTCCCTCCACGTCATCTCAAAGGATAAGAGATCCTTCTTTCTTACAGCTGCATAGTATTCCATTGTGTATATGTACCACAGCTTTTTTACCCACTCTATTGATGGACACTTGGGCTGTTTTCAGACCTTAGCTATTGTAAATAGTGCTATGAACATGGGGGTGCTTATATTCTTTCTGATTGGTGTTTCAGGCTTCTTAGGGTATATTCCTAGAAGTAGGATCACTGGGTCAAATGGCAGTTCAATATTTAATTTTTTGAGGTAACACTATATGTTTTCCATAGTGGCTGCACCAGTCTGCATCCCCACCAGCAGTGTACCAGAGTGTGACAAGTTTTTAACCTGATGAAACTCACAGGATACGTGCGCCATCAAAACAAGGGAGTTCACTAAGAAAAAGGATTTGAGATATAGGAAATGATCCTGAACAGGAGAAATCTACAGGAATTTCAAATGCCATAGAAGCAGGCCTCAGAACAGAACTGACCCGAACCAAGGAGAGAGGAAGACTTCAACAAGGATGTCTCAAGAACAGAACTGTGCCCTGGCCAGTCTGGCTCAGCAGTCAGATTGCTGGCCTGTGGACCAAAGAGCTGCGGGGTCGACTCTGGTCAAGGGCATGTACCTCGGTTGTAGTTCAGTCCCGGCTCTGGTCGGGTCGTGGGGGAGGCAACCAGTTAATGTTTCTCTCCCTCCCTTCCTCCCTCCCACTCTATCTGAAGATAAATGAAAGAATATCCTCCGGTGAGGATTAAAAAAAAAAAAAATAGAATCACTAACTCACAGATTATCTGATAAAAGTGCACTAAGAAGGTATAGAGACAATTAGCAATGGGTAGGAAGAAAATTAAGCAATTGAAAAATATATAAATTTGTCTTTAGAAAAAATATATAAATTTGTCTTTAGAAAATGAAATACTTCCAGGAAATAATTTTATGTCAGGAAACATAAAATTAAAACAAGAAAATAATTACTGACTACAACAATGTTCAGTTATGAGTACTGCTACAGGCATAATAACATAAACACTAAATAATGACTTTTTAATGAGATATAGTTTATATAAAATAAAGTGCATATTTCTTATGTACTTTATGTTTAATGAACATTATATAGTTTGACAAAGGCATACTTGGTGCCACCACCACCCAATCGAGATATAGAATATTCTCATCACCCATAAATCCCTTTGTGCCCTATCCGGTCAGTAGTCCTCCATGACCCTGAGGCAACCACTGTTCGGATTCTATCACCCAAGTTACCTTTGCCTGATCTTGAGCTGCGTATCAGTGGAACTAAAGAGTATGCACTCCTTTGTGCCTGTTTTTCCTCAACATAGTGATTTTGAAATTTATCCATGCTACTGATGAATCAATAATTCATTCCTTTTTATCATTAGACATTCTATTGTGTGTGTATGTCACAGTCTGTTTACCCACTGTCCTACTGACCAACATTTGGTTGGTTTCCAGTTTTCGGCTACCATAAATAAAGCTGCTATGAACGATCCATTAGACATCGTTTTGTGGACATAAGCTTTCAATTGCTGGGTCAGGTGCAAGTTTACCTGTATTAGAAAACTCTAAGTTTTCCAAAGGGAATGCATCATGTTGCATGGCTACTAGCAGTATCTGGGTGCCCCACCTGCTCTATATTCTCACTAACATTTGGGGCAATGTTTCTAATTTTAGTCTTTTTGGTGGTAGGTAGTGGTATGTCATTGTGATTTTAATTTGCATTTCCCTGATGACTAACAATGTTGTTTTATGTGTTCATGGGCCATGCATACTGCTTTTGAGAAATGTTTAAGTCTTTTGCCCATTTGAAAAACTGGATCTAAATACTTGTTTCACCAAAAATTGTAATATAATTATAACAATATTGGGAAGGGATGGTGAGTCAGGAGAGATAAATCCACATTTAACATAATAAAATAGAAAGTCAGTAGACATGTCTGAAATTGAAGAATCAAAACATAGATTAATCACATCTATTTTTTGAAAATATGAGGTGTATAAATGCCTGAAGAAAGATGAAAGAAACAGAACGTGGTTGCTTCTAGAGAGGTAACTAAAGGTAGGAGACCTCCAGCTTGTAACAAGCCTTTTGGTATTATTCTATCTTTGAAGCTATGCATATGTTTACTTTGAGGAAAAGAGACTTGACATAAATAACTTACTGAATCTATAATCACTGAGTCAGGTGTTCTTCCAGTGAAAACAAAATTCAGTTGCTTGGCTGCTCTGACCAAGGCTCCCTCATCTGTTTTGGGAAAAGAGGCGAAAGGAGATACATGGTGAAATAAAAATTACCCCAATACGAGAGAAATCCATTACTGTAATACATTTGCTGTTTAATTTTTAAAGAGTTAAAATTCTTTTTATTCTAGCTCCTGTTATGAAAATCCATTTCTTTTACAATTATATGACAATGCCAAAGAAATGAACAGAATTATCCTAAGAGTCTGAGATAACGATTTGACCCCAGAGTCATGTTTCTGAAGACTAAGTCTCTCACTCTTACTCACACACAGAAAGAAAATGTACATGTACCCCTTGGTCCACACATTTTCCGGAAAACCTTTCTCAACATGAGTAACTCAAAACTGCCTTCTTACATTTTATTTTTCCTCCTGAAATGTTGATAGTAGAAAAACTACTAATGGAGAGTTCAATTTAAACGGATATAAATGACCTGAAGCTTTATTTGATCGTCTTTTAGTTACTGTCATCACCATGTTATCTCAGACCTTCTCGCTGCTGAGGGCAGGGTGTGGGATGAGAGAACGTTCACACGGTTTCCGTCCCAACGACGTGAGTTGTAGTAGTTCTTATACTTATAAGGAATTTGGTACATTCTACAAGGTCACAAGTACTGGTTTAGAATACAGTTTACAACACTTACAGCAAAGTTCTCCAAAGTGTGTTCCTTCTTTCCTAAAATCTTACAATAATTTAATTGACTACTCGCACAATTTTACATTGAAAATAGGTCTAAAATTAAGCCCAAGTATTAAATACTGCTAACTGTGCTAATGCATTATTTTATGGAATCGCTTCAAATATGTACACTGTCTTCATCCAAATAAATACTCAAGCTCCTTGATTATCATTTACCAAAAGAGGAAAGCAAAACTGCTGTTCTAAAATGCACACTCAGGCAAACCAGTCTTCCTTTGCCTGTGTGCTTATGTGCAAAAACAGTTTGGGACTAAGTTTTTTGTAAAGAAAGGAGAACTTAATATGTGCACATAAAAAGTACTTTTCACTTGTGTGAATTTTGTTAATCAAACTTCCATATAAGTTATGTCATCTACCGAATTACATGTACAAAGTTTTATATTTTAACAGATATATTAATTCTGAAGGCCAATGTTTTTCTAATTAATAAATAAAACTTTTAATCTAAAAAATATAAGTCGGTTATTCTACTTTTTCAAATTAAATGGATTTTTTTCTTGATAAACTCAAATTTCTGAACAATTTTCTTTTTTATTTAACATGTTTTTATTGAGTTTTTTTTAGAGAGGGAGATAGAAACATCAACGTGAGAGAGATTCACTGATCGGCTGCTTTCTGCACGCCCCCTACTGGGGACTGAGCCTGTAACCTGAGCATGTGCCCTGATGAGGAATCAAACTAGGACCTCTCAGTTCATGGGATGATGCACAATCCACTGAGCCACACTGGCCAGGCTCAGAACAATTTTCCACTGAAAGAATACATCACAGTTGCATCATCTGTACCTGGAGATGCTGCTTGATAAATAATCTTGTCGCCTTCTCGCTCTGGTACTGCAGTGTGACAGACTGCCATCATGGTGAGAAATTCACATATTACAGGTGCGGTTGGCTGTAAGAAACAAACCTACATCAGACCTTTTCACTTGAACATGCTGGCACTAATGATAGCAATGTTCCTTCATGCCTGTCTATTAAGAGTGTAGCTGTTAAACACTGAGGGTATGAGGTTACAGCTAACTAAGAAGACGTCATTATGAAGAAAAAATATTTTTAACTAAAACCACTCATTCTTGCACTCACTCATTCATTTCTCAGCATTTAGACAAGCATTTGTGTTGTCAAATAGAAAGAGTACAGTGAAAAAGGTGGATATGGTCAAATATTGTGCCGAGAAGACAGAAGAGAAATTCTAAACTGTTCATTTGCCTGGTTCTAATTTCTCATCAGATTTAGATTTCGGGAGTCTGATTTTTTTTTTTTTTTCATAACAGGGGAAGGGGCAGGCATCTGATCTTACTGTGGTGCACTATTGTGGGTTGGGCTGATGATGGCAGGGGACTCCTCTCTAATGCCTTGTCCTCCCTCTCTCCAAACATGGCAACCTAACCCTGACACATTTTGCCAAATACAGAAACGACTGAGCAAGTCCTAGGTACCACGGACTTTTACGGCCTGAGGAAGACATGAAAGTAAATCCTTTCTGCAAGGAGCTTAGAGTTTATAGGACAAAAGAAGCCAGATCTCTTAATTCAAACATCTGCCTGTCTGGCTCCTGGTAAAGAAAAATGTCATTCAAACTAATAAAGAAAAAATATTTCTCTATGCTGTTGGACAAAAAAGAAAACGAAAAAGAAATGAAATTATTGAAAAACTAAATCAAGCATTATTTGGGAAAACTGTTCAGGCTACAATAGTAGACAGAAGAGACATGATCCCCGTCATGTGAAGTTTTGACGTGTGGGCAAAACAGAACACAGATAAACACACAAGTACAATTTATTTACAGAGTGAAAAAGGCTATAAAAAAGAGAATGTGCAAATATACGTAATATGATTTGGGTGAGTCTGTGGTTGTTTTGAAGATAATGTGATACTTAAGCTGGCGAGGGTTTAGCTTCATGAGAAATTGAGCAGAGAAGTTTTTCAGCAAACAAGAACCTAACATGACTGAAAAGATCCCAAAGAAGGAAATAATGAAGCATGTGTAAGAACATAAAGGAAAGCCAGTGCCTGAGGAGGGAGAAGGGAAGAGTGTCTCGGAGTGAGGCTGGTGACAGGCGGGGGCCCACAGTGTAACTTTGTAAGCGAAGAGGGAAGCAGAGGACCTTTCTCAAGGGGCAGGAGTCCGTCTGCACACTGCAGTTGTCTCCTGCAGCAGGATGGGAGGGAGCGGCAAGGGAGACAGGACAATTCCCGCAGCAGGTGCTGTGATCGGGACAAGGACAATGAAAGGAGGAGGTGAAGATGACGCTCAGGATGTATTCTGGCGAATTTGACAAGGACTTGGTGACTCTATTGATCTGGAGATGGAGGGACAGGAGGTATCAAAAGCAACCCTTAAATTCCTAGAAAGAGTAATAAGATAGGTGATGGTGTAACTTACTGAACCTGAGAACATGAGAGAAAAGAGGAGGTCTAAATCTAGGTTGTGTGCATCCTGAAGCTAATATTTTGTTGAAGGCTCTCTTAAGAAAAAAAGGATACAGAAATACCCAAACAAACACATTGCTAGAGCTCCTCCAGGGGGGTGGGGGTAGTCCACCTGCACTTCAGAGTGTGATTTGGGGTAATGAGTAGGAGTATAAGTTTTCACATATGCAGCTTGAAGCAACTGAGAGAGAAAGTCCTGGGTTTGAACTCCAGGGAATGCTGTCAGTTACCTGATGAAATTTTATGACGTGTCAACAATTTCATAAAGATGTTCGCAGTTCTTATGTATACATTTGGCACTGGCTTCCCATTTTGAGCAGGTAATTAATTTCCATAGATACTTTCAAATTGTTACCAGCGAGTTGTTTCAAACAAATAGGGTTCCACTATTATTTAACATTAAATATTTTGAAAAGATAGACTATTGATAATGATAATGTTAAAACTACATATCTAGCCCTGGCCAGTTTGGCTCAGCGGTTGAGCATCGGCCTGCGGACCAGAGAGTTCTGGGTTCGGTTCCCGTAGGGGCACGTACCACAAAAAAACAAAACACAAACTACATATCTAATAACCATGAATTCATGTGGACCAAGTTAAAACAATTAGCAATACATTTATACAATTATTAAAAATAATAACACTAAAGAAAATACAGAAACATGAATGGTAATTTAGAGAATGCTTATTTGCTTTCACTCATTAATTAAAACATAATAGTTTTACATCACTTACATGATTATTTTGGAGATTTTCCAGCAACGACAAATCACTAAATGTACTTCCGTCTCCACACTGAGCACTCTGCCTAAACGGGGAAAAGGGAGCAACTTGGTTCATTTACCACAGCTCACTGGTCCCTTCAAAAGTTTTTAAATAAGGCATTAGGCCTGTAAACCCTAATAAATATAATTTTGAGTGCACTACTGAATAAGACATCACAGATTTAATGATTAAATCAGAAAATATTTTCAAGCATTATAAAATGTGACAGACTTTGATAATGTCATAAAAAATAGTATTTTCTACTTAATTAAAAAAAAACTAATTAATTTTTAAAAATATAACAAAACTGCCCGAGCAGTGTGGCTCAGTGGACTGTGCGTCGTCCCATGGACTGAGAGGTCCAGGTTCGATTCCCTGTCGGAGCACAGGCCCGGGTGTGGGCTCGATCCCCAGCAGGGGGGTGCAGGAGGCAGCCGATTGATGTTTCTCACATCTATGTTTCTCTCTCTCTCTCCCTTTCTCTCTCTCTAAAAAACAAACAAAAAAAATTTTACCAATACAAATATTAATAATAAATAAATGTAACAAAACTGCTAAAAAACTTGGTACTGAATTTCTTTTACTATCATAATTTTTTCAAGTTTTAAGAATTCTGAGAATAAAGTTATTATGAAAAACAGTATACTTTTACCACAGCCTTTGAGAAATCTTTATTTGTGGCGACTAACTATATGATTAGCATATGAATAAGCTACATATTTTATCATCATTAACAAAATCTGATGTACTTACATACATATATTTGTTCTATATATTGAGAAACATCATAGAAGTATATGGGATTCTTTTGTGTTGTGGCTATCTTCAGATCAGCAAACTTCATAAGAAACAAATGGAGTCGAACTGCCTCTGTAATCTAGCTACTATTAATCTCATGGCAATGCAATTTAATATAAAAGTGTTGAGGTTCAAAGGAAGAACAAGGACCATTTCGGTGGAATGTCAACCCTAAAGGGTATACTTTGCAATGTCCAGTGCACTGAAGAAAATTTCAGAATTAGTTCACTGAGAAAAAAACGTGTTCAATATTACATATTGTAATCCAGAAATCTTTTAATCACAATTTTCACAGGTTATGAAGAGCATTATTAATGTCAATGTGCCAAGCATCAAGAGTCTCATATTGTAAAGCCAGAAGTTTAAAAGGAAGAAGAAATCACTGAAGAAAAGAAGAATCTGAAATAATTGAACATACACAATATACTCAATGAAATCTATTTTTCCCATAAACCAAAGGAGGAAGTTAGAATGTTTATAATAAAATACATCTTTATTGACATGTGGTGGTTAGGTCTACTAATTCTCAAAATTATAATACATCTTTACAAATGTGTGAAAGTGTATTAGTTTAGAATTCTCAAAAAATCCCTGAGAAGCAGAATGAACACGTTGTTGTTGTTATTATTATTATTTTTCCTCCTCTAGTTTTAAAGATGGAGAGAAAAATCCAAGAACTTTTAAATGACTTATTAATAGGCAAACAGAAAAAAGTAGGATATATTTCTACTGCAAATACTATCATTTCTTAAAAATAGTTCATTAGCCCCAGCCAGTTTGGCTCAGTGGTTAGAGTACCGGCCCACAGACTGAAGATCTTGGATTTGATTCCCAGGCAAGGGCACCTGCCTTGGTTGCAGGTTCCATCCCTAGCCCCTACTCAGGGTTGTGCCGGAGGCAACCAATCGATGTGTCTCTCTCACATCGATGTTTCTCTCTCTCCCTCCCTCCCTCTTCCTTTCTATTATATCTAAAAATCAACAGAAAAATATCCCTGGGTGAGGATTAAAAAAAAAAAAGTTCATTATTTGGGGTTCCTTAAAATCATCCTATTATTAAAATATATTCATTAAGTGTTCTTAGTTATACTTTCCTACCTATTCATTAGACAAACTTAAATTTCAAGGAATATTCACAGTAACATCTTGTACATGAAGTCTATTTTCAGAATTCTAGACCAAAAGCCTTTATAAATCTGAAGATATATCTTATTAATCTCATCAGTAATTCTTTCATTTTATAAATCACAACTACCATAATTGAAATAACTTTCAAATGTATTTACAACAAGTAACACTAGATACACAATTGAAATATTTACATGCACACATCACATCCTCCCTTCACCAACGGAGGCATCCGCCACGGATAATGCTACGTTCACTCTTCTTCCAGAAAGGGGCCTCCTTTCGAGATCATAAAACCATGAACGACGCATCTGCCGACCACATGGCCTGGGTGGATAATTCAGGCATGGAGTTCTCACCGCCTCTCTCCAAAATCTTAAAAAACATTCACTTTTATTAAATGTAAACAGATAAAACTAGGAACTGCACTAAAAGCACAAGTAATATTTTACACAGTGAGTTGACAAAAACTACATGAATTTGCAAACCACTCAAAAAATGCAAGCCAACATCAACGTTTTGTTAGTTTTTTCCACAGATATTTTCAAGTGGCACTTTGCTCACCAGGAGACAAAGAAATTATGGTGTTTTGCAAGAAGCAATAAGGTAGAGAGTGGAACATTAGGTAAGGACGAGGAGGCAGCTCACAACATAATAATTTGCAGCTTGATTTAAAAGCTATGATCCATTGTAAATCACTATTTCCGGATCATACAAAAATAGAGTCCTCGTAGCAATAAAAGTTAACAGAAAATTCAGAATGCATATGGTTTAATTGGTATCAGCTCTTTTCATATATGACAGTAATGGATTATGACTTTTTTTTTATCCTCACCTGAGGACTTTTTTTTTTTTTTTCATTTCTCTTCAGATAGAGTGAGAAGAAGAGAGGGAGAAAGAGAGAGAGAATCATCAATATGAGAGAGACACATTGACTGGCTGCCACCCACATGACCCCATGGGGCTGGGGACAAACTGCAACTGAGGTACATGCCCCTAGCGGGAACTGAACCCCAGACTCTCTGGTCCGTTGGCCGACGCTCTAACTGCTGAGCCAAACTGGCCAGGGCGATTATGACATTTTTTTTTTATCCTCACCCGAGGACATTTTTTAAAATTTTGTTCAGATAAAGTGGGAGGGAGAGAGAGAAATATCGACATGAAAGGGACACATGGAGTGGTTGCCACCCACACAACCCAACCAGGGCCGGGGACAAACCACAACCGAGGTACATGCCCTTAGCGGGAACCAAACCTGGTATCTCTGGACCACAGACCGACGCTCTAACCACTGAGCAAAACCAGCCAGGGCACGATTATAACATTTTTTAAAGTTCAAAATTAATGTCAACAAGAGAATCATCAGAAAAAAAAAAAGGTGGACCCATACTCTTCACCTGAAACCAAAATACACTTCAGATGGATGAACAATCTGATAAAAGTACTAAAGGTATGGGAAATTCTAAAAACAAAGTAAGAGCAGAAAATGCCTCAGTATCAGACATAATTCAGAAAACAAAACAAACAGATAAATCTGGCTGCATAAAGCTAAAACATTTCTGTAGAGCAAAAACTACTGCAAAGTCAAAAGCCAAAAATGACAAACTGGGAAAAATAATTTCCTGCTCATACATGGAAGGCTATCTTTCATAAAATAAAAAGAGCTCAGAAATCGAGATGAAAAAGATCAACAATCTAATGGAACAATGAGCGAAGGCTACAAACACACAGTTCATGCAGAAAGCAATGCGATTGTCTTTAAATGTAAGTTCAGCCTTATCCCATAATGAGAGAAATAAAATTTAAATTTGACAGAAATAAGTTTGACAACTCTGTGCTGTCATTACAGAAAAATTAAATCATATCTTATCAGTGATAATTAAAATTGGTTCAACTTCTACTAAGGGCAACTGGCAATTTCTAGCAACATTTAAAATGCATGTATCCTTTGATCAAGTAATTCCAGTTCTAGGAATATATACTAATTATCTACCTGGGGAAAAATTCTGTATGTATTCATTTTTTGCAGCACACTTTTAACAGCCAAAGGTTAGAAATAATCCAAGTTCCATCAGGGGTGTTGCTTTAAAAAACATGGAACATCCACATAACAGTACTATACAAAAAATGGGTAGCTATTCGTGGAATATGGACAAATCTCAAGGATGCACTGTCAAAAGAAAAGCTGGTATAAGACTGTGCAGTATGCCTCACTCTCTATCAAAATATGAGAGAAAAAATACATGCATGTATAGATCTGGAAGAATACAGCTGAAATTGGTTACATTGCTGCCTAGAAGGAGAAACGGAGGGAAACCTGTCCCTTTCTACACCCTTCGAATTCGTTGCGCGTTAACGCATCGTGAACTTAAACAATAAATTAAAGCCCTGGCTGGTTTGGCTCAGTGGTTACAGCATTGGCCACGGACCACTAAGTCATGGGTTCAATTCTGGTCAAGGGCACGTACCTCGGTTTCGATTAATCTCTGGCCCTGGTGGGGTCAGGAGGCAGCTACTCAATGTGGCCCTTTCATGTCAATGTTTCTCTCTCTCTCCCTCCCTCCCTCCCTCTCTATCTGAACAAAAATAGAAAAATGTCCTCGAGTGAGGATAAAAAAACAAACAACAAAAACAAGAACATCGCCCATGTCAGCCACATACATCCTACATATAAATTAAATGTATACATTATACACCTACACATACTACTCACATGCATGCACAGGAAGACAAAAGGCAGTGTGATTGAAAAGCACTTTATTTTTTTTAAAGGATCTGCACCTCCTGCTTTTGAATGGTGCTATTGGTTCCAAATCAAAATTCCTTAAAGGGAGACTTAATTTTTAGAAATAAATATGTTATTCAGAGTGAGGGCCAGTACAATTCAAGAATATGAACAAGTGATTGAATCCAATAATATTTTTGTTAGACACTGGTTTTAATCAAAGTAATGAGACCTGTTTTTCCTGTGACTCATAATATTTCCAAAGGCAAAGACAGAAGAGGATTCCAAAACCTCTGAACAGCTGCCTCATCGGAAGGAAGGAATCACCTGTCACACTGAAGACGGACACTAACTTGGATGCATTAGATCTCATTATCACGCAGTCAACCCCGA